TAATCTATTTTATTTATTTTTTCTAAAGACAGATACATACTGCCAATAAATAGATTAGTGTTGTAAAGCAATAAAAAACATAAGCTTGCAAACTTTATAAGGGTTAAAATATATTGTTATGTCTATTATTAAAGAATAGTATTACATTTAAGATCATTAATTTAGAATATGGTTAGTTTCATTTGACATTATTAACTATTATTATATACAATTAAAAAATCATTTTTATGATTTTTATAGTTCTTTAAAATAAATAGTTTATATTTTTTTTTATCTGTTTTTTGTGCTTTTTATATAAGTTATAATTTTTTTTTTAAATTGAATATAATAGTATTTTTTTTTTTAAATAAAATCCTAGATTTTTTTGTATTAGGATGATGGTTTTAGACTTTGAGTTGGTAGATTTCATAGTAATGTATTTATTAATACCAATTTTATTTTATATAGTAGTAATAAATATTCAAGTATTAATTATATCAGAATATAGTTTTGTATAAAATTTGTCTTGTGAATAATTTTGATTAACCAATAATATTTTTGCAATATCATAGGATAATCTACAAAAATCAGCTAATTACAATGAAAGCCTGCTATGCTGGTATAACCAGAGTAATGTGTAGTAATTCATTTAAAATGTAGAGAAATGATGCTAATAGTATATGCGAAAGTTTACTAATCACATATTTTACAGGAGAGAGAATATCTAATTTTTGGTGAATATATAATGAGACAAGTTTTTTAAATCTTCTTTGTTAATTAGAAATTTATACTGGCTTATACCTTCAAACTGTGCTGAATTAGATCGAACCAAATGGTGGTTGTCTTTTTTTAAAGTTGGTTTTTGAAGTGAATTAGCATTAACATTAACTAATTCATCTTTCATCAAGTCAGTTAATTTTACTAAATTTTGAAATTCTCTGGATCCTAATCTGAAGATTATTTTTAAATTCATAGTTGAAGTTCTATAAATTTGCTTGACATCAAGCTTTTCAAAAATATAATATGTTCTCACAGATATTGTGATAAAATATCTAGTTAATAGTTTATTACACATGATCTTTTTTTGGTTTAGTCACTATTTTCAGAAGTTGACCTAAATAAAAGATATAGACAAAAGCATTAATTCAATTCTTTAATCTTCTAGTATGTGTTAAACTTCTCTATAAAGTAATTATTTTATTTTGGAGCTTAGAAGATTGTTCATATAAAGAGGGTACAGTTTTAATGTTTATTAGTGAGGATTTAAGTAATTCGTTCTGTTATAAACCAGTTTTATTTTATTAGTTTATTATTTTATCTTAGTATTATTTTATTATTTTAATATTTGTATTTTATTAGTTATAAATTATTATTATATTTATCTTAAAGAAGAATTTAAAAGACATGTATAATGATTAGCCTTAATGCTTAACGCTTAGCAATTTACGATTAGCAATTATGCTTAGCTGCAACGATTAGCGATTAGCTCTAAAGATATAAAAAGGCTGTAAATTTCCCTAAGTTAACATTA